CTTGGAAGCTGAACAAGGCTGGACGCAATTAAATAAGGGATGCGATTTTAATTAAATTAATTAAGGGATGCTATTCATAAAACTAGCGAAGCAGTACTGGGGAAGTCCAACAAAAAGAAACAACCAGACTGGTGTAACGAAAATCAACCTTATATACAGACCTTGTTGGAACAAAAGCATAGAGCACATCAAGCAGTCACTGCAAATCCACACAATCCAAGTCTGGTAGATAACTTTAAAGCAGCCAACAACACGCTTCGAAGAAATCTGCGCCAATTAAAGGATGATTGGTGGTCACAAAAGGCTAATCAGATACGCCACGCATCACGATTATTGTAAATTCTTCGAGGCTGTAAAAGAAGTATACGGCCCAACTAAGAAGGTAAGCTGCCCAATCATGGCACAAAATTGCGAACTTCTAAAAGAGGAACAGCAAATTAGAAACCGCTGGAAAGAGCATTACAGCCATATTCTTAACCAGGAAAACAACCCCAATATAGAAGCACTAAATACAATACCTCAGTATAAGAGCCTCGATGTATTAGATACCCCAATAACAGAACAGGAAATAATGGCATCCATAAAACAGCTTAAAAACAATAAATCAGCTGGCTGTGACGCGATCCCGGCGGAAATCTATAAGTGTGCAAGTAAAGAACTTATTGGTCACCTTAAGGCTCTCTTCGATGTCATATGGGAAAGCGGAGAGGTACCTCAGGACTTTTGCAATGCGAATATAGTGAATATATTTTCGCACCAACCGTGGCACCGTCGCGCGTCGATTCCATATTTTCCATCCGCCAACTGTTAAAAATTGTGACAAAAATAATATAAGTTTATAACAACCCAAAACAATGTCTAAAATTTCGTCCGTAACATGTTATGTATGTATATACCTCTATTTGTAGATAAATTAGTTGTTTGGATATTGAAATGTATACAGATTAATCTTCAAGTGTTTTTAGTGTTTTTCGTATAATAATAATCGTATATTATATAAATTACTATATTATTTAAATATATTATTTTCTGAGATGGCTATTTTCCGGTTCCGCTGAGACGGTTTCAGATCATTGTGCCCCTCTACTGATCTCTAGGATACTTTCTCTAGTCCTATTCTCTTCACACACATTCTAATAACTTGAAGACTGAACTCTTAATATAAAATATTTAAAACACATAATATTAATTATTCATTTTCTGATAATTTAGTCATGTATCAACTAATCATATTATTATCATCCCTGATTTCAAAATGCACAAATACTAATAATTTTTTTTTTAAATATTACAACCTAAAATAAAACAAAAAAAAATTATGAACAATAACTTTTTCTATGCTTTATTTACTTTATGAACCTTTTCTTTTTGCCACCTGCATTCCCTGCGTGAAATTTAAATTCCAGTTATGGTGGGTTCATACATGGTGAATTAGTCCTAACCTTACCCTTAACATTAACCCCAAGAAATTAGCCTTGAGAACTTAAGGGAATGCCGTTCATACTTCTCCTACTTGTAATAATTAGTGATAGGATAACTCGAGCGAAAATTCGCCTGAGTACTCGATTGTTGAAATAACCGACATCGCTCGATTATGAACGAGCCATGCAAGTGACGAGTTACGACCGAGGAAAGCAAGCGATCCTAGAATGAAATAAATTGAAATCCGATTTTAATGTATCATACTATTTTCTACATACATTGCAGGAAGCAAATTTATACGACGTTATCCGGTGCGTATGTGAGTGACAAAATTTTACGACCTACATCGACAATGCTTTGAAATAAACTAAATCAAACGAATTACTTGTCGCTCGTCGCTTGCTACTTGCCATTCATCACCGAAAGAATATGTGCTCTGCGCACGCAACTTACTGCTTGGCGTTACGAGTACAACAAACGACGGGCGAAAACCGGGACTTTTAAATACGAGCGATATTTCGCTCGAGCGGTCGCTCGATTCTTGAAATCGCTTGTAAGCGCTTGCGCTCATATAAAACGTATATTTTGAACTGACCCAAATTCAAAATTATTTTTAAAATTTTTAAAAACACTTGAGAAACTAATTTCTATATTAATAATTTCTTCTCGTAGACCAAGAATACATAATTTATTAACATTTATAAACCGTCAAATTCAACATGTCCAGATATTATTTCGAGAATTCTTAAAACCCCTAGTTTTGAGCATGTGCGATTCAGTTGTGAATTAGCATTAGCCCTAAGAATATAAAATATCCCAACCCGTTAGGACTACAGCTAATGTTATACCATACCATATCGCCATTACTCGCTGGCGAGTATTTTGACACGCATCAGAAGATGGTCACGCAAGGCGTTTTCTTTCATGAGCTTTTCTGTGACTGAAAAGCCCGATACGTGATGTTATCTGTCTACCGCACTCCAGACATTCAAAAATCTCATTGCTTTGTTGCCTCTTTACTTTTTGGTTGTCGCTCTTAACTGACTTTACAATTCTTCTCTATTCCGTTCTATTGTGAGCTGCCTCTTCCTACTGATTCTGCTTGTTAATTCCCTTTAAGTTTTCGTGGAAAATATCCTTGAACCTTTTGAGTTGTCCACCCGGCCTCCTCTTACCGTCTACAAGCTCACCGAAAAGCAGAGATTTTGGTATGCGGTTTTCTTGCATTCTTCAAACGTGACCAGCCCATCTTAAACGGGACTTTGTAATTATGCCTTCAATACTCTCGCAGTTAGCTTTTTCAAGGACCGATACGTTCGGAACATGATGGAACCATTTTATTCTTAAGAGTTGTCTAAGATGTCTCTGTTGCAACTTGTTTAATGCGTTCATGTGCCGGCGGTACGGCACCCAGGTTTCGCTTTCATATAACATGGTGTGAATTATTATCGCTCGGTACACCGCAAGTTTCGTTTTTGTGCTCAAGTCATGATTGTAGAAAACCCTGTCTTTTAATTTCCAGAATGCTCTTGAGGCGCTGCTAATCCTGTGCTGAATTTCAGAGTCGATATTGGCCTTTTCCGAAATCAAACTGCCGAGGTAATTGAATTCCGCTACATAATCCAACAGCTCATCTTCCGGGGGAGTGCACATGCTTTTAGTTTTACCGATGTTCAGCTTAAGTCCCAAGGCCTCGTATGCCCATGTATATGCGTTCAACATACAAGTTCTGTGATGAATTTTGTGCGTGTTTTTGCCCTGAGTCTTTTTATGTTGAACAGACCGCCGTCGTATCTGTATCTAATGCCCAAACCTCTCTCCTGCAGTTTGCTGTCCACTATAATGGAGAGCGCTGCCATGAATATATTGAATAGGAGAGGCGCTAAGACACAACCCTGCCTAACGCCTGTGTTTGTTAGGAAGGAATCGCTCAGTGATCCATGATATGACACTCTTGATTTGTTGTTGTTATGGAGGCTTTTACACTGTAAGAAATTTTGATGGGTACTCCGAACTTTTTTCATAATTGCCCAAAGTGCATCTCTGTTCACAGACTCGAAGGCTTTTGTTAGATCGATGAATGCAACGTAAAGTTTAGACTGCTGCTCTTTTACTTTTTCCTGTAGTTGCCGGATGGAGAATATGGAATCGACGGTACCGCGGTTGGTGCGAAAACCCGTTTGCGATTCTGGGAGGATTTTTTCTATATGTGGGTGGAGGCGATTTGACATAATTATTGCAAGAATGTTTCCTCCGATAGCCAGTAGTGAAATTCCTCGGTAGTTTCCGCAGTCTGATGCACTTCCTTTGTTCTTAAATATATTCACTATATTCGCGTTGCAAAAGTCCTGAGGTACGTCTCCGCTTTCCCATATGACATCAAAGAGAACCTTAAGATGACCAATAAGTTCTTTACTTGCACACTTATAGATTTCCGCCGGAATCGCGTCACAGCCAGCTGATTTGTTGTTTTTAAGCTGTTTTATGCAGTCCTTTATTTCCTGTTCTGTTATTGGTATGTCTAATACATCGAGGCTGTTATACTGAGGTATTATGTTGAGTGCTTCTATATTGGGGTTGTATTCTTGGTTAAGAATATGGCTGTAATGCTCTTTCCAGCGGTTTCTGATTTGCTCTTCCTCTTTTAGAAGTTCGCCATTTTGTGCCATGATTGGCCATGAAAGCTAATGTTAGGATCGATACAACGAAAGTATGAACGCTAGCATTCCTTAACGTTGATTCATATTCTTAGGGTTGGGCTAATGCTAATGTTAGGGCTAAGATCGGAAGAATGAACCCACCATTGTCAGCTCGGCGCCGAATATGTCCATGGCTGGCAACAATGAATTTAAAAATTAAAGTAATAGTTTAATTGGTATCGAATATATCTACTAATTACAACAATCAAATAATTTTTAATATAAATAATATTTGAATTAAATCATGATAAAAATAGTTTTCTAACAGACTAAAAAAATCTTGAAAAAAAGAGCTTGATTGAGTTATAACTATTAATACTTGAATAATTTTTATTACCTAGCTAATAAAATTATCAGTGTTCATAATTAAACAATCTAATAATACTATAAGTGCATCAAACATGTTCGAACACAGCGCGAAACATCTTGAACGTAGTTTCGGTTTCGGCCATAATTGCAGCCGAAACCGAAACCAAGCTGAAATCCGTTATTTTTGCCGAAACTGGACCGAAACCGAAACCGGAATCGAAATTTCGGTCGGACACTAATAATTTATAATAACTCAATAATTAAAAAAAAAATAAATCACAGTTTCTTAATTACATATTATATTAATTTTTAAATATTGCTCCATACCAAATATTGATTTATTCTATGGATTTTAATCTGATTTAGTATACCTAGATGTTTTATGGACATGCATTATCTTTATTACCTAATAAAAATATTATCTTACAGTTTTATATCACTTTAAGCCAAGTAAAATAAGGAATATTTAATTTCTGTCATACCATTTATTCTGCTATTAAGATGATATCTGTGTCTGGATCTGTGTTAACGAGTTATGTTGATTTTTAAAATTTAATATTTCTAAATTTTAATTAGTTTAAAAATACGTGTTCTTAGAAGTAGATACAGGTAGTTTGGGCTGTTTATTTACTTTCTTTATACAGTCAGTGATATTTGTAATTAATTCATAGCATCTTTGGCTTATTATTCATATATTTTAGAAAAAAAAAATGTTAATTTGGTTCGAATTTTAACGTTATTGATTGATAATAATAGTTTAAATGATAATAATAGATAACACTAAAATGAAAAAGTTATAAAATCATATAGATATATTTCCTGTAATTTTTCGTAAACAAGATATGGAGTTATCTATTTCTCTATAAATAAAAGCTAACTTATAGAGGAATATTCCAAGACCTGAAAACAAAATTACAACTATTTAAAGAATAACCAGGAGTGAGTTTCCCACAATAATAAGGTGCGGCCTAAAGACCCTTTTTCTAATATTATAATTTTTCATGAAATCGATATACAGTTTGTGCAATCGCTGTATAATAGTAAAAACTTAGTTTCTATTAGCTCGAACTACGAAAACGTTTACTTTTATTTAGAACCTTCGATATATTTTGATAAAAAAAAGTGCTGTAAATATATCCATTCTATTTCAAAGTGGTAAATGTTACATGTGTAAATAAGTGTTGAAGATGAAACTTTGGATTGCTGATTTGTTGAGATCCGCAGCACCTCAATTTGCTCCCGTTTTATTTGGTAAGTAGATGTTGCATTTTATAATTAAAATACAGGGTAATTCACAATTGACCTCACCATTGTTTTCTCGAAAACTATAGGAGATACGAGGATGGTAAAATAAGGGAAAAGTTGTGCGTTAACGTTATCATTTGAACTTCCGAGTAGGTTCCGGACTTAAAACTTAAGTTTTTTTTTCTGATTTAAATCATTTTAATGACTTAAGAACCTGTTTTAATTATTTGTCGTGTTACGCGTGCGTAGTGAGTCTGTTGTCTTTCAAGTGAATCCCCGACTCCGTTATGTAGCCCGAAAGACGAACAAAAGAAATTCATCTCGAATATATTAAAGAGTACCTTAAAATCTTCCATCCCTTATTATTTCACCCCTCCATCGCTTATGTCATCGATATATTCCATAGTGATCAATGAATGTAGCATGTAGAATGTTTAGGAAGGGAGTTAATCACCGCGACCTAACAGATCTATTGTGTGTTCCTCTTTCTTGAGTTATAACGAGTTATAACTCATCATACAGTCTAATCTCCTAATATGATACGTACTAAGAAAATTGATAATTGGTAATACAGGAAAGTTAATATTACCATTTAAAAAAGGTACTTAAATTGAATTCTGGTTGTCTTGACTTAATATTAATTATAGTGATTTAAGTCATTTTACTGACTTAGCTTGCAGATCATCATGATTTAAATCAAATATATAGACTTATCGACCAGTCGACAAATGCATCGATAGCGGGAGCAAATCCGGACAACTTGGAAAAAGTTTTATTTTGTTTAGTTTGGTGTCGAGAATCACGTATTAAATTTGCACTCCCCGTAAAGCCCGGATTTGGTCGCCATCTTGGAAAAACTGGCTAAAATTCGGTTTATTTTTCATTATTTGTCAATAACTCGATTTCTATCAACTTTAGTGCAAAATATGTAGAGACCAAAATTAAAGAAGAGGCCTCTATAAAAAAACGTCGTATGGGTTTTTTTCGTGCGACTACCCAAAGTATCGAATTTTACGAAAACAAAATTAAAGTTTGATATAATGTACGTGTTCAATATATCCGGGGTTTACTGTACTTGTTTCCACACCACCTTGAGTGGCACCCCCGAGACATAAAGCCTAAAAACTTGTTGGCTGCTACTGGTTGGCAGTAGCCTGCTGTCGCGGTCATAATGGAAGAACGCAATTTGCATTATGACCGCAATAACGGACTAAATTTTTATTATTGCGCGACGGGTGGAAAATCAAGTTTAACCGCCTTATCTCCCAGGGAGCTGCCTTGAGGTAAAGTACCCGGCGCGTTTTTTTAGTGATCCCCCCATTTGCAATAGGCCTAATCCACATGTCGTCAACTTAGGTTTCTTTTGAGGTGAAAGGTTCATCAGAGTTCCTTCGTTTTTTTTATGTTACTGGCTGTTCAATATAATCTTCCTGAATGTCTTCCACATCTGTATCATATTCCGGATCTGGTTCATAAGGTGCAGAATATTTTATTCGTTGATCTTTATCGAGAGGAAAATTGTCCTCGTACTTCTCTTCGTCTGATTTTGCCACCTCCAAACTATTCGAACATGATTTGCCCTGACAAAATGCACACATTATCGAGAAACGCAAACCTGCTTTGCGGCAACTACAAGATGTATTACAACCTTTGGCACATTTACATGAAATCAGATTTAATATTTCTTGGGGAGCTGCATATTGGGAAGTAGCAATGGACATCAACCCTTTCTTTGAATTTTACCATCCCCAATCCAGAGGTGATTTTTCATTCCCATACCATAGCTGTACCTGACTGTACGTACGGAAGGGGTGCAAGCGAGCTGCGTCTTTGGTCGATGGTAATGATGCTAGGTTTTGAAAGCTTTTGGTAATAGATTTTACGAAACACTGGTATCTGTACTTATCTAATGAGTCGCATTTTCTGGATCCATCTAGATGAAGAAGAAATCGTTCTCCAGCTTTTTCTATATCTTCTGGGTTATGCGTTTGGGTCTTTGAAAGTTTGTGCAGCTGTCTGTAATAATTCTTTTTCTTTCTGTAAAACTTTAACGAATTTCATTTTTCCTTATCTGTATAATGCGGATGTGCCACTAAATGCCACTAAATGCGTGGAGAAATAAAATGCTGTCCATAACTGAAACATCTAGATTCATATTATGTGGTGCATACGTTCTACTTTGCGACGTCCCCTTAGCACAAGTTCTTTCAGCAACTAATAACAGACGACTACTATTTAATTGTGTCTCCAGCAATCGAGCAGCGATCGTACATGACCTTGAGTTAAAGATTCCGCTTAACAACAGGAGTATGGTTCTCGGAAAGACTAAAACTGTCTAGAATAGAGGAAATAATAACTGCTTATAATATATTTAGCTTTTATTATATTATTATTTTTCTTTAAAGCGAGATAACTTGGAAATGGGTCGTCGCACGGTAAAAGTACATAGAACGTTTTTTATAGAGTTTTTCCTCTTCTTTATTCGGTCTATACATTTTTTGCACTAAAGTTGATAGAAATCGAGTTATTGACAAATAATGAAAAATAAATCGAATTTTAACCACTTTGTGTTATATTTTTGGAAAGGTAATTTTAAATTATTTTCAATAAATTAAAAATACACAGGGTGTCCCATACAAAAAATCAAATTTTCTGTTGATAATTCTTAAATTATTAATTTTAAAAAAATTATACTTAAACAATTAAATTCTACGTAAAAAGGTGCTTTGGAAATGTTTCCATAAAAATACAAAATTTTCCATAACAAAAAAGTTACAGCGATTTGTTAAAAGTGCCACTCCGAAACGGTAACCGATATCGACATGCGGTTTTCACTATCATGTTTTTGACAAAAATTGAGCTCCAGACACCGATATTAGTTTTCGTCTATCTCCTATAGAAAAGAGTGTTTCCATTTAAAAGCGTCGAATTTGACCCACCCTGTACAGTTGGCTATATTTAGGTACTAACAATGGGCTCTGCAAATTCGAGCGGTTTAGAATACCTAAATTTGAAAAAAAAAGTTGAAAATAATGAACATTTTATATTTTCTATTTAATCGGTTTTAAAAAAAGATTTTGACATATCCAAAAAACTAAGAAAGATACATAAAAAATGCAACATTTTTGCTCTCTTTCAATATCCTGTAGATTTATTAATTTCGTATAGATATTACGTTTTTTTAGTTTTACTTGCGTGTAAGGACCACCTTCCTTGAATCCTTAAACCCCAAAAATCTCGTAAAATGAAGAGTTCAAGACTGTTCAACTATAGAAATTAATTCGTAGCTCGTGCAATTTCCTACAAATTGAAAGTTTTTATTTTTATGATTTTAGCCATAGATTTTGTTGTTATTTTTGTGTGTTAATTTTTTCCGAAAAAATGAGGTGACCATTTTATTTTTATCATAAGTCAGCGAGTTTTTGAGCTATAAACTTGAAAAGACCTTCTAGAAAAGCATTTAAAAGGTCTTTTCAATAACTTTAAAAACGGTCATATTCATTTTCTTCGAAAAATGTGTTTTTTCACCATTATTTTACTGTAAAAAGTTGCAATTTAGTTTTCGAAAAATAAAAAATGACTTTTACAGAGCGATATTATTACACCTATGATAATTAACAAAAAATGAATCGATTCGTTATTCCAAAAGCTTAATTTTTGCTGTATATGAGTTCTCCGATAAAACGTAAGGTTTTCGAGATATTTATAAAAAATGGCAGAAAAATATGCAGTTTTTAGATGAAAAATCAACATTTTCAATCCTAAATAACTCGGCTTAGAATTCATCCCTTTATTGATTTTTGCATTAAAATGGCTGATTTATTTCTCACCCCCGAGAGGGGGTAGTACTGACACCCAGGGTGACGGCACACATCGCTACTATATAACTTTTGTTTCTTACATATATCTCTATTTACTGTTAGAATTTCACGTCAATCGGTGCGGGTGTGAAGAATTCGGAGTATTAATACCCAATTTTTTCCTCGCTTACTGGCCTAAAATGTTAATATGACGAAATCAAACTTCAGATAATTCGATCACTCATTAATAAACAGACAGAGATTTAGTAATATTAATATTTTAAGATTATATAGTCTTTAAAATTTTGACATAGACTGACTTAAAAATAAATGACTTTTAATCAAAACGTTCTATTTTAAAGCAAACATTTAAATCTACGGAAAATATTTGTTTCTTTTATAATCACAACCCACGGCACATATTTCAAATAAACTACCCATAACGTATTACTTAAGCCAAGTTAAATTTACCGAATCGATCGAGAATGGTTTACATTGGCCTATTGTAACGTAATAAACCTATCGAATGCTTTCGATTAAGTCAATGTCAACACTGCAATTTAACTGGTGATATGCAAGTGGGTCTGATTAGAGCTGAATGTGTCGAGTGTGCGTGAATTAATTGAATTTGAAATGGTGAGATTGTCATTTGGTTCAATTTCATCTTCGGTAAATGAACAGATTTAATACAAATAATTTTCAGTATATATAAAATATATTTTCTTTTTATTAATTGTCTTTTATTTTTTGATAAAGAAATAGACAGCAATAACCCAAAAGAAAAACTTTTTATTATTATAATTATAATATTAAGAAAATTCCTTCTTCATAACAAAATTTGCTTCTTCTAAAATGGTTAATTCCGTTTACACTTTTCTAAATTTCCATACAGATTTAAGAAAATTAAAAAAAAACATGAAAATATGGCTGAAGTCCTAGAGTCAGTTTTAGGTTCTCGTTCTTTAACAGATTGTTATTGATGGAAGTTCTAGTTAACGTCATCTTTTTGTTTAAAAATTTAGTAAATCAGAAGCACAAATCACTGCCACGAAAAGGATGATAATAGTTATCAAAAAATGTATATACATTCTATACCGGGTGGCGCGGCGCATCGTCGTTGGACACATAGAAAATCCTATGAAAATTATGAACTGTTTAAATATTGGCTTCACTATTGATTTTACAGCAAAGTCAGTCGAATAAATT